TTTCACCTCGTTCTCCCTTTTCCCTGTCTCTTTCACACATCATTATATTCCCAACTCTCCATAGGTACTATACCTGCTAATTACCCACAATGCCACAGTCATTATTTTTCCATCTCTGCCGCTAATTTGCTCCATACCTTCCTTTCCCCCACTCCAACAGACCCATCAGCTCCCAGACAGCTTCTAGCTAGCCTCAGCTCTCTGTCTGATGGAGACGAGAGTAAAGAAGGAAACAAAGACAGAAGAGGGGTAGAAAAAAAAACGGAAAAAATATGGCGGAGAAGTAAGTGTTTTGATAAGAATGCGACTGCAAACAGGTGTCATAGAGGTCCCCTTTTAAACTATATGCAGAGACATGGACACAAACTCACTTTATTAACCTCTATTCTTATACCATAAATGTTTAGCTTATTTAATAGTTGACCATTTGGTATATCAAATCAATTATATAATATCTAGGGCTGCTGGTAGGTTTACCCAGTATGTGACCAGTGAGTGAGTGTGTGTGTGTTTGTGTGCGTGTGTGTGTGTGTGTGTGTGTGTGTGTGTGTGTGTGTGCGTGTGTGTGTGTGTCCATGTTAGTGGGTAAGGCAGAGTGAATGAGAAAGCACCTGTACCTCCTTTACAGGAGGAACTCTCAAATAATAATGTTCTGTATGTGTGTTATAACACCTTGCAATAGTTACTGATATTTTTTGCTAAGATTGAAACCAGCACTGCTAAAGCAAAACAGGCAAAACCTAATAAAGTTGTTTAGGGATCCCGTGACACTGTGCTGACACTCCTGGCTCCCACTGAAAAGCTACTGAGAGTAAAGAAAAAGTTTAATGGCTCTTATCCACTAGATTCCTTTTGGTCCACTCTGCTCAACATCTCCCACCTTTGAATTCCAGCTTCCTCAGAAGTTTTCTGCAGTCCCGCGAGTATCTGGGATGACCGAGGAGGAGGAGCAGACGGGAGGAGCAGGGAGGTCTAGAGTGGTTGTTTGTCAAGAGTGTGTTGATGTTGTTAGATTCATTGTTTCCTGTGTTGGTCAGACACTGGGTTTGTGTTGGCGTTGCGGCTGTTATTCTGGCTGCAGTGCTCTCCTCGGCTCTCCCTGCTTCTCATTACAGTGAATAAACATAGAGCAAGCATTCGACCGGACAACTGTGGAAGAAACAAGAGTGTGTGTGTACATGAGTTTGCATCAGTGTGCTTGCACATGAGCCTGCTTGTTTTTGTGTGTTCTCATAAGTGCATTGAATTATCTGTGGCTTTGGGATGGAGTGTAAGTTGTTATCTTTAGAGCAATGGAATGAGCTAATTCAAACAACTTGTTGAAAGTGAATATAAGAAGGCAAACACCTTAAACAAAGTGGTAAAATGGAACTCAAAGATGATAGTCCTGCACAATGCCATGTAGCAGGTTGTCTAGCAGTTTTAATAACGGTGTAAGTAATAACACATTATCAAATGTCTTTTCATTCAGTAACATGAACTTGTCCTTAGTCAGTAAACTACATTCTGGTTAACCATGTCACTGCCGACTCGCAGTCAAGCCAGTTGATGCCGTTGCGTAGTCCATCACCATTGGCTGACAGTTATGACCACAGAGTCCTCTACCATGGTTACATGTTTTTTTTTATTTTTTAAACCTTTGATTTAAAGGTGCTGTCCCGCCTCACGCTGTTTAGTATCATAATGCACTGCTTTCCTGTCACTCTTCTCTTACTATGTCACAGTTAGTTTTGGGGTTTAGAGTTATTGTTTACTCGTTTTAAAAAGTTCACACATCCACCACAACTGCCCCCCCCCCCCCCCCACCCCCACCCAAATCAAAACTTTCAATGTTCTTCCCAATCTTTCACAGCACTCTAGACTTGTTTATATGCCAATTGCTTTACTCTAATGCATTTATATATAAACACATTGTGTCATTGAGTGTACATCACTTTAACAAGCTTCAGGATAAAACTACTCACATAAAGTTGTACCATAAGAAACTGTGTGCATATAATTTAATGAGGATTGACGATAAATGCACTTTAGTTCTGTGTGCGTGAATATTGGTGTGTATTTCTGTGCGTGTGCACGAATATTTGCCAATATAATTGTGAAATCTAAATCCATGCTTAAGAGAACCAGTCCACCTCCTCCAACAGGCTGCTGTGTCTTTCTGTTGGACACGCATATACACGCTATACCATAATAATATGTTTCTTTCTTTCTCTTTTCCTACCTCGCACCGCCATTTTTATTTCCTTTGATAGTAGTAAGCTGTCAGCATCTGGAGACTGTCCCGTCCTAAGACTGTCTTGGGTGACGATTTTTGTTTTTTATTCTCGAAGGAAATGGTATGCATTGCTATGTATTGAGTAAACACAAACACACATCCAGTACACACCTTCAGATATCCCCTTGACAGTCATGGCTGAAGGATGTTGGCAACAGGTGTGCAGCTGGGATACTGTTCTGACAGTGCTGGCAGATGCACACACACCATACACATATACAAACACACACAAACAGTGAAAGAAATATATATATATATATATATATATATATATATATATATATGTATATAAATAAATAAGGATAGTGTGTGAGAGCTGGTGACAGCAAGCCGGTCTCGCAGGGCGGCGTGCTCCACTGCAGCTAATTAACCCCGGGAAATAATTGCAACAATATGCAAATTCTGTTTAGATAATTCACTACACTGCTATGCCAGGTAGTCAGTCACTCTGGTGCCTGCTGCTGAGGGTGAAGGCAAAGAACCTGTGTTTGTTTGTGAGGTGATGGATTCTGTAGCACGACAGGACTCATCTATTACCATTAAGACATCAAACACACTTCTTAAAAGTATCATTGTTTTTCCTATAAAGAAAATTCATTAAAAAACTTGTTTTCATCTTTAGGTTGTCAAAAATGAAATAAATTGTATCACTCACTGCTACATGTCGTCCACAGTTGGTTTAAATCAGCTAATTTAACATTGAAAAGATTAATATTTTGATATCAATATAGAAATATTGACAAAGTAAATACACACACACACACACACACACACACACACACACACACACACACACACACACACACACACACACACACACACACAGGCACAACAAGATGCCATATTCAATATTACGCCCTGACTTACAGTATGTCTTCATGTCATTAAATTGTCACTTAAAGATTGGGAGCGATGTGGACAAAATAGGAGTTAAAGGATTGTGCAGGGTGTGTAACAGGTGGCATCAGCAGGGGAGAAAAATGGGGAAGAAGAGAGGGTAAGAAGTCGTGAAGAGAGGCAGACTAATGGAAAAAAGGTCTCAAGGATGAAGGGTGACATGGCGGAGGAGAGAGGAGGGCGACTTCAAAAGACTTTAATGTCACAGCCTTTCACACAGACAACTCTGCTCCAGCCAGCTCCTATGTGCATGTATGATTACATACACGTGCACACACACACACACACACACACACACACACACACACACACACACACACACACACACAGAGCGCAGCAGTGATGGCAGAAGGGCAGGGCAGAGCCGAGTTGCTTGCTCTTGCATCACACTCTGTGAATGGAGGTGGGTGCTGACACTACAACCCCCTCATGCTAATCTAGGAGTAAACACAAACACTCTGACAGGTTAATTTACCTCTAGACAAACACAGCAACAAAAACACACATCAGCACATCATCAAATGCTACAAGCACGCACACACACACACACTTGCTTCCAAATTTGTGCCCACAGAAACACACATGCAAAGAACGTTTCTTTAAAGCACAAGTTGCCTTACTTTTGATAAAAACTCAAGTATAAACCACGTTTCCTGTAACATGTTTTCTTTTCAGTTTCTTAATTACCTACCTACAGGTAATAATTGTTAAAGATATTACGTCTGTGATCACATAGTATCTTTCTTCATACAACGCAAACACATTCCTAGAAACTAACGGGATAGCCTCGATGCCTCCTCTGTCCTTTACCTCATATCCCTAATTATTTGGTTTGGAGTCACATACTGAAGAACAGTTTGACACTCAATTAACAGCCTCCATGCTCTATAGGCCCTGTGTTTGTTTATTTCAACATATTATTTTTTATATACATCTGTACGCTAATTAAGAGAGCTATGTGTGTATGTGTGTGTGAGTGTGAAGAAGATAGTATTATGTTCCCAGCATAGATTTGTGATGTGGATACAGGTGTTTTTAGCCCACAGAGCTTAATGTGCAGTGTGGCTTCTTGTGGGAATGTATTGTAGATTTATATTGTGAACCAGACAGTTTGATAGGAAATCAAAGTCTAGAATCAATGTCACAAGTTCATTAACGGATGCCCTTTTCTCGCCTCTACTTTTACTATTGTTCTTTCCAGCCCGAATAAGCGCTTACATCTCTGGTTAATTAAACGTGTGTGTGTGTGTGTGTGTGTGTGTGTGTGTGTGTGTGTGTGTGTGTGTGTGTGTGTGTGTGTGTGTGTGTGTGTGTGTGTGTGTGTGTATGAACGCGTGCTTTCAGATGAGAGTGGGAACCTATGTAAGGTTGTGACTGTGTGTATGGTTGCAAAACATTGTCTGAGTGTGTGTGTTTCTTTGATGCTGTTGTGTTTTCCCTTTGACCTTCCCCTAGTGTCTTCCCATTATGCCTCTACTGGTGTATAGACGGGCCATCGATCCAGCAACAGGGTACAAATTAAGATTTAAACGTTACGTCACCCAGCCTATTGAGTTTTACATTTAGGGCATTTGCAATATGCAAGACTTATTGATTCACTGAAATCACCTCAGGCCACAAGCACTTTTTGTTTTCTCTTTTAGACCTTTGTTTTTGTGCAGGTTTTGATGCTGTACCATTACATTTCTAAGAGTTTGATGACTCTATTGACGCTTCACTATCATTGGCTTGACACAGTTGTAAGGGTGTTGGTAGCCTTCAGCCTTAAAAGTTTGAAGTCTTTCTTCTTTGTGAGCTTCATTAAAATTGTCTTTTTTTTGTGTTGCAGGAAAATGGTTCCTCTGAGGAACACGTGCTTTACGTTTGGGACCACTTTGTGTCAAAAGCCGAAGCCAAGAATGTTTTCATCGTGGCCCACAGCTATGGAGGGCTGTCCTTTGTTGAGCTGGTGAGTGTTTTAGTTTTCCTCTTATCCTTCCCATACTGTACCTCCCACCAACAAAACGCCACACTGAGGCACACAAAACCCTCATGTCTGCACGATCACTCATACATGTTTATCTACATATGCAAACTTAAGTCTCAAACACTCACTTCCACAAATACAAAAAAAAAATAAAAAAAAAAAAATAAATAAATGCCAAGCAGGACTTGCACCGGACACCTCACGGAGACTGGCAGCAGAGTAACAGTGTCAAGAAAATAGTGGAAAATTAAATAGACAACATTTACTTTGGTGAAGTTCAACCTCTGTAAACAATCTGGTTCATCCTTGTCCTTTGGCTTCTATACACCTTATTTACACATCAACAGCAGAAGAACAGGGAAATGAAGAGAGCTTGATAAAGACATGTAGGAGATAGCAATGCTACAGGGGTTCAGATAGACCAGATCTTCTAAAGAGCTATAGCACATCTCCCAGCCCTAATGGAGACAAAGGCTAGGTTGAAAGATGATGGGAAGGAAGTGGATTTGAAAGAATAAATGGTTCACAGGGGAGGGTGAAAATAAAGTTTGACCAGCCTCTTGGTGTTATAACGGCACCCTTCAGCTAAATGGGCCCAGAGTGTGTCTTTTGCAGGTAATATGAAGACTTTTGAGGTTAATGCTTTATTTTCTAGTGTTTGGTTTAAAGTGAAGGCCTAGAGGGACTCAGCATCACATATTGATCATCGCTTTCCCTCTGTTTAATGACTCAAATTAGTTCATAATAAAGCTACAGTGTGCAGAAAGCCAATACGATCACATTGAGTTTTCCTTCACAAGTTAGAGTCACATTTAGGAGACATGCACCCTGTTAGCTTGCTATTAGCTGCTGTATTCATCTTCTACTTCCACATAAAATGTTCTGGTCTTATGTTCATGAAGCAGCAACTTCAACTTGAACCCAAACTTATTTGTTGTCAAATGTTCAGTTACTGGGAGTTGAGTGGCTCTTTGTAAATATATGAAAAAATATGGATTTGTATTTTCTTTGTGTTTGGTTCATTCTTTTTTCTTTCATAGTATATTGTGATTTTTAATAGTATTTTATCTGAATTAAGGATGTTCACTACCACAAAGAAAACATTACATCTTGTATTTTAGGCTTATATTCCTACAAAAGATTTGTTAGATATAGTTTGTGTTTTCCAATTTTCCCAAGTAGAGTCTAGCATAGAGTAGCAGCCAGTTAAGAAAAGAATGGAATAACAACACTATATTTTATATATATTTACAGTATATATCTAACCTGACCTTTCTACCCTTCTCTGTTGTATTTACAGCTTTTGAAATACCTACAACCACTTCTATGTAGCAGGCTTAGTGAAGTGCCAGAGTTATTTCAAACACGCAGTGTTGAGCTGTATTTGCATTGAATGCAAAGGCCTGCACTGTAATAAGAACCGCTGGCTAATACTGTGCTTGTTGTGTTTGCAAGTCTCTTAATGATCAGAGCGCTTTGTTACATTGCCAGTCTGCTGGTTACTGGATCTGAAGGATTTACTGCTACACTCACCACATCCCATATTATTCAGGACATATCTCTCCTCTTCTCTGAGGAAGGGGAAGAGGAGGGAGGTGGCACAATGAGGATACGGCTAGCGGGGGGGATTAAAGGTGGGCACTTGTCCCACTGGTGTTTTCAGGAATATTTTTTTTCTTTCTGTCTCTTTCACCTACTCTTTTTTTGTTTAGTATTTTGTAATTTTAATTTGGCTGCTAAATATTCATGCAGTGTTTTGTCCGTGACAGCCTCACAATCTCCTGGGCTTTCTCCCTGTGGGACGAAGACTAGCTATTCTCTCTGTTTGTCTCTTTCTGTCTCTCTGTGTTTCCCTCAGTCAGACTCGCTCTTTCTCTGTGTGTATAAAGGCCTCAACGAGGTTCTAACTGCGCACTTATATGTGATGTCCTTGTCATGTGAAGACTCTCATATACAGTATGTGCATATATAAATACTTAGCATATAGCAGATGCTGTATGTGGAAGATAACATCAAAACAGAGACTTGAAAGATCTCTGTGTTCACTTTAAGTGACAGGGTGTTGGAATATGCCATTGTTTGGTCTCCCCTGAGAACAATGCAGCCCCTGTTATCTTTCACCGTTGAAACTTCCTTACCTCTACTAATTTGGCATAACCACAAACACATTCAGAGATTTTAATAGCTTGCCCACCTGGACCTAGAAGCAGCTCTGTCCACACTGTTTGGATTTTCCAGGTCAGTTCAAACGCAATGCCAAAGCTGTTTTTGTTTATTTGTTTCTTTTCCCCCTTTTCATTATTTTCTGCTCTTGCTGCTTTGGTTTCCCATCCAAATGCACTTCTCCAATGTATACACGCACTTCAGAGGACTGCATTATAAATATACATGTGGGAATTAAAGCAGCCACTGTTCATTTCTTACTTATCATTACTGTATTTCTTGTGCATCCTCACACTAAAGCGCACACTCACACACACACACATACTCACGCGCATATATACACATGCACAGCATCTACTTAATTGAGGAGAAAGTGGTCCAGCGGGACGGGATGGGAGGTGTGTGCGCATGGGCAGGCGAGTGGAGAGTGGAGCCTTGCGGGATGAACGGTTTGACACATGAGAAGACCCAGAGAAAACAAGCTGTCTGCGGGTTAATTACTGCTCCCCTTTGCAGTTAATAAATACATTTCTGATCAAGCACATCAAAAAGGCCCGCCATTAATTTCTACTGCTCGCTCCCCTTGCTCCAGAGCATGTTAGCCCCTGTTTGGAGCGCTCAAGTGTTTCATTGCAATTTGATTTCTTTTAAAACACTTCACAGTGTGTACTGACTAATTATAGATACATCAAAGAGGAGCTAACTGCCTTTGAATGAGAGCGTGAGAGAGAAAGAGAGGCTGGCGCTGCAGGGGCAAGGCTGCTCGTTCTCTTTCTGTGCTTCGCTTCCCCCCCCACACACACTTTTTTGGCCCTTTTACCCTCTCTATCATTCTTTAGCTATCATAGAGTCCATCCATCTATCTCAGTTCACTGTTTTTCAGATCTCTCCTTCTCTCTCCCTTGCAGTCTCCAGTCTCCTCTGACATCTGCTTTCATGCTTGGCCAGGCTGCTCCTCCCTGCTCCTCCTTCTCTGTCCATCTCAGCTGTATGGTTTTAAAGGAAGATGGGTCATGTTCTCCTCAATCAAGGTTCTTTGTTTTGAACTTAGAATTCCTAGCTTGATTACAAAATATGAGAGGTTTTAGCTTGTGTGTGGACTTTCTTACTTGCTGAATCTTCATTGTTTTAAGTCAGCATTTCCAATGTAGAATGAACCCAGAAAACTTGGAAAGAAGGACCCTTCAACATAAGTACAAGTCATGGTTGCAATGAGGAAGGGTTTTTTAACCCGCACTAACCTTCCCACTTACACAGTGAAAAAGGAGCTCTCTTATTGGAGAGGACAGGACACCATTATATAAGGTCTTATGTAAGAAGGCATCTGTCTCCCAGTACACTAATGTGTGGGTGCCAACCAGACAACCAGCCAGCCGCCACAACAGTCCCTCAAAACATGGAATACAGATTTTAAGTCTCTTCTGTACATACTGTACATGCTTATAGAATATTTTCTTTACACTTTCTGTATTGTGCCATCTGTTTGGATCAATAACAAATATATCAAGCTTTCTTTCTCTCTCACATGTTCCCGTGTATGTGTGTGTTGTGGCTTGTTGTCAGAGTGGGAAGAGATGCTTGAGGTGAGACAGGCAGATATGGAGGATTTTTTCACTCCCTGTGGACATCACTGCTATACCATGTGCGTGGAGGATGAGAAAGATAAAACACTGCCGGGTGTATGAGTCCGAGTCTGAGAAGTTTGTTTTACATAGCTGGGAGGGTGGTAAGTGATTTCCCTGAAATGATATAGCACCTGCAGACTAAATGAGAGTGTTTATGTTGTGTATAGGAGGATGCAAAAGGAACTAAAAGCAAAGCTAGTGACTTATGTGCCACTTAAGACTTCCTCTTCCTTTTCCACATTGAGATTTCCCCAAATAACAATGCCATTTGTCTGTGCAAAGCCTCTCTATATCTCAGTTATTGGTCTTTATTGCATCATGTATTCAACCTTTTCACCACAATATGCACAATCCCACTCTTTTCACGTCCTTCTTTATTTTCTCATTTTGTTTGTCTTTTTAATTCCCCCTCTCCCAGTCGTTTGACCCTCAGGGCAGCGGCGGTGCCAGCTCTGCCCCCTGTGCAGGACTCTTGGTCTGGCACCGGTCTGTACAGCTCCATGACCAGCATGGTAACAGCCCTCTGAACACATGGCGCTTCTGTTTCCAGTCATTGCCCATGTTAGAGCATGCCTTTAAATACACACAAAAATGTTTATGTAAATCAAATGAAATATAAATACCTTAAACTACATGTTTTAACTGTACCACATCCTCATTTTACTTTAGGTAGATTTTTAATTGTATTAAGAAAATGTTCATACTCTTTGAGTTTTCTGTTGTATCTTTCATCACTACACTGATTTACACAAGTCTTGTAGATCAATCAGGTCAGACCAAACCAAAACCTCCTTAAATGATGGAGTATAAAAAAGTTACCTGTAAGTCTCTCTGAAAACTCTTCAAGCTGTAGTACAACCTTCACCTGACTTCGTCACCACAAAAAAAAAAAAAAAAATTGTTTTAATTTGTTGACTAAATCATTTTAGCTGTGAAAGTTGTCCATAGGCAGGCTCTGAAAAATCCCCTCATCTAATGTTGTATGCACGTCTCGGCCGCCTCCAAAACTCTGAATTCTAGCCTGTCTATTGCTTCTGGAGGGGATGAAGAGAAGGTTTGTTTTTATCTCAAGGTTCTCCATAGCTAGCGGGCGTGCAAGCGCTGCAGTAGCAGTGCAGTTTCCTGTGTGTACGTCTGCCCGCGTGTGCTGATGTGCATGTGTGCGTATGTCTGTCTATGTCTGCAAGTTAGTTC